CTAAGATTTCGCCCACGAGCGTTATCACGGAGCACCTATCTTTCAACCATCTTAGGATGGAATTATTTATTCAAAAAATTTGCATTTTTCTTTGTACATGCACGATTAAATTATCCAAATAAAATCTACATGTTTTTAATATGTATATTTCTTTAATTAACTTCCTCCAACTCTTTTTTACTGTCAAAAGCTTTCGGTCTTATTTCGAAGATAATATCAACTTTCCTGTATATGTACAATATGTATATATCTATGTGTAAAATTATCTTTTAAAAGAATGATAAATATTCTAGAAAGGAAAGTTAAAGTTTGCTAAAATAGATAATAAATTATAAGAAAAGATTAAATAGATAAGATTAAAAGATTATAGAGAAAACAGTAATATTTTATAAGGATTAGCGAGAAGGTTGCAAGATTAAAGTTGTAAAAAATAATTGGGTTTTTTTTTTAACTAGTCATCCATTATATAAAGTCTCTTACATCTCCATCGATCTGGGCGGAAGGAATCAAGCGGGCAATTTTAATCTCGCGAGAGCCGCCGAGTCAACCGTTCGGAAGGATCGCTCGTTAGATACTCGAGCAGCGTCTTCCTTTAAATCGGCGGGAAGAAATTGGAAACGCGCGGGGCAAATCAGTACCCGTCGCTCTTGTCGGCTATCATCCCCGTATCATCCCCGTAGATTCCAGGACCGATCCGATCGGATCAACGTCGATCAAAGAAGACGATCCAAAGACGCCGCGCTCTCTCCACCTTCGTCCAATCTTGATTCTCCTTCGCTCTTTTTTCCCTTCTTGATGCAACGCGCGATTGCAGTTTTAATCTATCGACAAGCGCAGAGCCAATCGCGCTGCTTGAAAGAGAAGTCGAATAGGCTCCACCGACTTCGCTGAACGTTCGATGAGAACCGATAATGGAGAGGGTGAAAAGGGTGTTGCTATATAAGGAAGGTTTGAGCAAGCAGTCTTGCGCTCAAACATGACGTGAGTCGCCATAATTTCAACACGAGACTAGCGAGGGAATAAAAATCGAGCGTTAATATTTAACGCTAGTATTAAAGTACACTGGCTGCTGTGTAAAAAGATTGATAAGGATTAAAAGCCAGTTACATGCCTTGCTATGTGTCGGTGTTATGCTAACCTCGTGTCGTGAAAATTACATAATGGTGTACTCGTATATAAAGTAAGTGATGTATGTAATGTAAATATGAATCACTTGCATTTTTTATTTTCTTCTTTTGCGATTACTTGTGAAAATACATGCAATATTTAAATAAGATGTGTAAAGACCTGTTTTAATACGACAATATGACTATCACAATATTCATCAATATAATTTTCTTGATCTTTGAAGTATCGTATTTCAGAAAACTCTATTCAAAGTAGATTCATAAAAATATTCTACTTGTATAAGCACCGTACAAATAACATTTCTAATTCTCTAATAAAATATATTTGTATCTCTAGAGTTTCCCTTTCTGTGTAATTAAGTAGACTTCTGTAAGCCTTGTTCCACACGATGAGAAGAGATTCTCGAGTTATTAAGCGCGTTCAGATAGAGCACGGTTTATTAGGAAACTAGAGGTAATTTATACGAGTACAGCCGGTAGTTATGAGACCAGGACACACGGCTGCGTCGTCGCCGGGATTCGCGGATCCGGAAAATTAATGATTTATAAATGGAAGGTATAATTAAAAGGTTCGCGCACGGACTAACACGACGGCCGGCCGCCCTCGGCAATTAAATCAAACTTGCTAATGAAATCCGGCATCGACAAATCGCGACCGCGGCATGCGCCTATCCCGCGGGATATGAGGCTTGTTTGTCCGTCTGCGGTCATATATCTCGAATAAGATTACGATATAGTCTGCGTGTGGATTCCATATATCAATATTTTACGCGGGCAAATTATATTAATATGTACTGGCATACTTAGAATAGCACACTAAGAATATAATATGTATTAACCTATATTCGTATAGAGTACAATTGACCCAGTACTGGACTGGACTAGTGTTGACTGTCATAGTTCAGATACTGGCGCAGTATTGGCAAACTGCTGACCCAGTACTAACTAAGTATTGGATGATAACTTGGGCCTAGTATTAGTAGAGGGTACTGATTGACAGAATCTTTGCCGTCAGTTGACAGTCGTAGCGTTGGCTAAGCGTTGATTTCGTTGTAACTGCTGATAACCTCCTGGCAATCCTATATGGGATAGTTTCTACAAATGTAGAATGGAACATTCCATTGTTAGGAAACATTGATTTACATTCTTATTCTGATAATGCATGAATATCTGAATATCTATATCGAGTTTTAAACAATAAAACTTTTGATATTTTTCTGTGAATTTTGTTATGACGCCTCAAAAACTACACCGTTCGAACAACAAAAAAACAGAATTGTACAAACTTTATCTCGCTTTCACTTTTCCATTTTCAGCGAGAATCTTGTGAAACATGGTAGTGAAAAATTATATTGACAGAAGAGTTAAGCTCGCATGTAGTATTCTTTCATTTCTGTCGATATCTAAGGAAGTTTTTCAGCTGAAACGATGAGTAATCGCAGATTCAGAAGGCATTCTATTGGATAACTGAATTTCGAGCTTTAGATAACGAAGCTATTACTAAAACTTCTAATAATCATGCAGGAGATTAAGCTGACGCGGCAATTTTGCGGCGTTATTCACAAACCCGGACGAATAAATTACTGTAGCGTGTATCGACGTATCGTGATCGATCGTTTGCGCAACATCAGTTACTCCTACGGGATAAGATTCATACTTGGGTTCCTTTTTACTTTTTTTCCAATCTATGTAACTACTCATGATACAAAATTTATATTTCATTAGGATTGAATCCTGAGTTTGCAAATATTCATCTATTTACAATTGATAGTGAATTGGTGAATGTGCAATTCAAATAAATTATTATTAACTCTTACAAATTGATGTCTATGATACTATGTAAATGATATTATGTAAAGTATTAATTTACGCATAATATTGGAATTAATATTCTTATTAAAAGAGATAGAAAAGTGGTGGATATTTATTTAATTAGTAGTGAAGTGGGGGGGGG